GAAGAGCGCAATGATGGTGCCAACTTGGGCCAGTGAAGCAATGTCCTCCACAACTAGACTGAAGAACAAAAGGACAGCAACTTATCTGTTCCCCTCCCCCAATTTCCCAATAAAATCTTTTAAAAATAAATAAATAAATAAATAAAACATGGTGCCATTTATGTAAGTTAAAAGACACACAAAATAGTCCTCTGCCTTGTTTATGAATTCATATCCATGTGTAAAATACAATCTTTAACAAGAGATGGAAGAATATATCCTAAACTCAGTGGCCACTCTTGGGGATGGAGACAGTAACAGAATCGAGGGCTGGGTTAAGAGAGTTTACTCTTCCTGCAATATTTTATTTCTTAAGGGGAAAAAAAGCAAATGAAGCAAACTGTTAACAGTGCTTATTTTGAGTGCAAATATGAGTGTTCAATATATTACTTTTGTATCTTTCAATATCTTTGGGGACGAAAATGGGGCACTGTAATAAATCTAACCCATAGTAACCTCACAGGGTGATCTGATCATAAATTTCTAACTGGGAAGGTAGGTCATGGTGGGTAGTCATGTAACTTCTTTAGTAAAAGGTTTTTCTCTGCCTTAAGCCAGCCCTGTCCATCATTCTTGTTCATCTAGGTCAGCGGTTCTCAACCTGTAGGTTGCGACCCCTTTGGGGGTCGAACGACCCTTTCACAGGGGTCGCCTAAGACCATTGGAAAACAAAAAGATATTTATATTACAATTCATAACAGTAGCTAAATTACAGTTATAGAGTAGCAATGAAAATAATTTTATGGTTGGGGGTCATCACAACATGAGGAACTGTATTAAGGGGTTGCGGCATTAGGAAGGTTGAGAACCGCTGATCTAGGTTAACACACCTTTGAAACGCCTCTTTTCCAGACCCCTCTGAGGTGTAACCACCCTCAAGAGAGCAAATAATGTTTACTATCCTGTAATCCAATCCCTGCCTCGCTTTCTCCCATCTTCCTTACCTTTCCTCCTTAATTCCAAATGTATAAAAGAAACTGCAAAACTGTCATTCTCCAGAGCATTTTCTCAGGCTGTTGAAATCTTGTTTCTAAGAGTATCCTCTATTTGACTCAAATAAACTCTTAGAAAATGTCAAGAAAGAAAGAAAAGGAAGGAAGGAAGGAAGGAAGGAAGGAAGAAAGAAAGAAAGAAAAAAAGAAAGAAAGAGAAAGGAGAAAGGAGAAAAGAAAAGAAAATGACTGTTTCTGGTCACAAAACCAGACAGCTCTTATAAGCCTTTCTCAAAAATACCCGTTTTACCAAATCCAACCAGGGTAGGAGTTTCTAATAGAATGAAGCCAAGAAGTGAAAAAGGAAGCAAGAGGGTGCCTTTTCACCACCAATTTAAAAATACAATAGTAATTAGGAGGGACTATTAGAACAAGTCTTACTTGTGCTGGAACTAGAACAGGAGTAAAAGCTTCAATCTTGTAATGTTCCTTGAGTTCACTGCCAAGTTCTTCTATCTTACAGGTCAGAACTGAAATCCCAAAGGGGAAACGGTATTGTGTTTAACACATTTCGTTTGCCAAGAAGAGAAAATACAGCACATTGTCAAACATTAAAGCCAGTCATTTTACAGAAGCAGGAAGGGTGCTTAAGACCTCTGGCCAATGTATACTTTCTAAAGCCCTAGCCAATTTCCTGATACTTGGCTGCTGAATCTGGCCTTCCCTGGCCACAGGTGATCACGTGACACAATCCCCAAGAGTCAGCATGGACCCCCTACCCACAGCCTTCCTTTTACTCAGGTTGTCAGTGAGGGTTAGGAGAAGTCCAGGCCAACCTGGACAGCCTTCCATTCTTCCCAAGGAAGAAGCCATAAATATCTCTGTTTCCTTTAATATTTTCATTGGCTTCCTTTACACAGTCCAAAAGGTTGTTACTGGGAAACGGTTATGTGCTTTTTCTTTAACGAAGTAACTTGGGAGACTGAGGGTATCATCTCACGTCTCACCACTAATAGAGACACCCAGAGGACATCCACCAACTTATGTATTCAAAGGCAACCTTGGAACCTGTGGTACAGCCTAGCTGAAGTTTTGCTACTTACTCTACACCCTCCCAGGTCGTTTTATATCCTCCAGAATTTCAAAGGGAAAAATAATCACCTTCTCGAATGTCTGGGAGCTTCTGAAACATTGATTTGTAGGTCCCGGTCAGGGATTCTGAATACCCCAAGACCTTCAGGCTGATGATGCCGGCTCCTCCTCTCCCGGACCAAGACACTCCCTGGGCTGAGCCAAAAGAGGTGACCACTTCTCCTCGGTTATTTCTCAAGTTGTATTTCTGAGAGGGAGTAGCGCTAATTGGAAGCAAAGCAGATTAACATTACTGTGTTCAGACATAAGGAGAGAGGAGTGAAATGAGGCTACCTTTTGGAAGTGGGGATTGGAGCGATGTCAAGCTGGCTTCGCATTTTATAAATCTAATCAGCGTAATGGGGTTGGACATACCATGACCTTTAAGGAATTTCAGGAATGAGGGGCTGAAGAATACCAGGCTGAGCAATACCAAATGTGTTTAGAGGAATTTAGAGACAGAGGCAGATTTTAAAAGGTCGTTCTCCTGGCTTAAAACTAAACAGAGCAAAACAAAACCCAAACTCTAAATTGATTAAAAAGCAAGCTTAAGTATCATTTTCTTTTCTTTCTTACGAAGATTTAGCATTTATTAGTGCATCATCAGAGCCTGGAACAGTGGATAGGCCAAAAGTTGCTGTGCATATATATATAATACCTCACAATAGAGTTCAAGGTAGAAGCAACAAAAAAATGAAGTTAGGTGAAATGAATCAACTTCCCCCAGTATCCTCGGAGGTGGAGATGTAATGAACCCAGTCAGCTGGTGAACAAACATTCCCATTCTCCAAGGCTCAACTGACATGTTCTCACATTTCCACCCCGCCACTGGTAAGTTACACCTCCAAGAACATTCGGACGTTGCTATCCGCTTAGATAACAGTGAGGTCTTCTAATGCTCTGGTTGTGAATTTAACTTACAGAGAGGTCTATTTAAAACAGGCTTCATTTAATGCACGGAAACTCTGCAGGAGCATTTTAGGTGAGCATCACTGACAGTGGAGCCAACATTCCTTCTTTCCACAGAGAAAAAAAGAGCTCAATTAACTACCTCTGTCTCCAGTGCTGCCTCTACCTGAATAATTTAGAAGTTACTTTCATAAATTACAAAACCAGTTTCTGATGTCAGCTTTATTAGTGTGCATTTAAAAATGACAAGGCAGCCTAATGCTGATTTCTCCAAGCCCCTCCCTGCCCGACTCCGAGGACCACCCTGACAGCCAGCCCTGTAATGCAGCGAGACGCTCACACGAGGTCAGCTATAAACAGGTCTACATTCAAAGGATGGCTTGTTCAGAGACTATAACTGCTGCAGTAGTGCTGGCACACCTCTGACAGCCATCTCTGTATACCAGGTTCAAAGATGCTCTTGTAAGTCTAGAAAGTTCGCTTCCAAAACAGTTTGAGAACTCCTAAAGCAGTTGATGGATCACACTAAAGTGACACTGTCCTTCAGAATCCAGTGACCGCTCATCCTGAACGACTGCTATCGCCTCCTTTCGAAAGTGACAGAGCTGAAAAATCTTAAAGTCCTGCGTAGTCCAGAATGCTCCAAAGTGGAGGTGGTGGCACCTCCGGCTAAGAATATCCCTAAATGCTTAACAGTACGTTCCTCAGCCTCATCCCCATCCCAATGCAGCAGCACCTAAAAGCCTTTCTGCCATTCAGCATGGCCCTCGTCTGTGAAATTCTCTCCTAGGAGACGTGTCATTTATAGAGTTCAAAAGATCACATGACCTTTGTGGATTTATGTGCAGAAGTGGCAGCAGGGATAAAATACCAATTAAGTCAGTGTAGAGTCACAGTGATAAGAAAACTCTCAGAAACTAGTTGCAACCTGAGGTGGAACAATAAATAGGTTATACAACATTATGAACAAAGATACATGTGTTTCTTAAAACAAAACAAAACAAAAAAACAACTTTAGATTAAAAAACAAAAGAAACCCAACAACACACGAAGAGAAGCAGGTGGAAGCCTGCTTGCCTCTGCTGGCAGGGCTTGCAGACTCTCAGACTCTGAATAGACAGGTTGTTTTCAGTATAAGATATCAGCTCCTGATCTAGGAAACGAGCCCCAGAAAAGTGGGTGGAAAGTGAGTTTCCTTAATTACTGTAAGAATCAGTAATTTTCCACACAGGAAGAGAGCAGGGAGGGCAGAGAGCAACTGGCCTTCCAGCCGGTTCACGGCGGAGGTATCGGTCCACCCACATGTAATAAGTCACTGTAGAGTTAGCCTCCATCAGATAACCAGAGAAAGGGGAGGGCAGGCCAGCTTTTTGGCAGATGAATTAATTCTCAGCATACCTTGGAGAGAAACTCGATGGCGAGAGGAGCTGATGGGGGCTGCGAGTAGACACCTTCCTTCTTGTTAGGGGGGTTTCTGGGGTGGTGATATCTCGCTTCTGAGAACCCTAGAAACAAAATGGAAAACAAAATCCCAGTCACTCTCGGCCCAAGTTACTAGTAAAGCGTGAAGTTCCTTAGGAAGAAAAGGAGAATGGTGCCCAAATGAAGGGCACAAGGTAAGACTGGGTCTTAAGGCCCCATCTACTGAGCATAATAATCCCACCCAGAAATAAATCTTCAGCAGCTGTAATGCAACATTCATTAGAATACCGTCCCCATTTTGAAGGCAATTTTGAAAAGTGCGAACATTTCCCCAAAACGACTGCCAAGCAGGCAATGTGTCCTGTCAAATCAGTTCATGTGTTCACTTTCTTTCCCCACCTCTCTTTGCTATAGAACAGCTTTGAGTTTTACAAAGCATACTGTTTTGACCTGCAAGGACAATGCATTATCCTGAGAAGGAATGGGACCATGTACTATTTATTCTGGCAAAGCCTACCACGCATTTTCAAAATCAGAGAAGAAAATGACTCCAAGCAGGTAACATGGTGGAGCTCATACTTGCAAACACCTCATGGATGGTGACTTGTTTTTGGTTTTTGCTCATCAACAAGAATCCAACAAGATATGCCCAGAATGGAGGATGAAACCCGCAGTCCAGAGAACTTTTGCTCCCCAAAGTCTAGGCTAACTGACTGACAGAGCTAAGGCTCCTTGCCCAGACTGCAACCAGGAGGCCAGCTAGTCTGCAGAGGCTTTCTCTGCCCTTGGGCTCCTCCTGGCTGTGTATCTGGGTCATGCCACCAAAGCTGCCTACTGGTGAAGACGGTGGGACACACACAAGAGAATAGATTCAAAACCATCATTAGGAGCTGGCATGGGAACAAAAATTTAAAAAAACCCTTATGTTACTACCCTATACGGTAGCCACTTTTCAATATTCCTTTCCAGAATATTAATATTTTTCCTATTAAAAAAATACAAATTTGAATAGGTACAATCTTAGTTTCAACATAAACCTTTAAGTACTATGTATACTGAGTTTTTTTTGCTCTATATTAATTACAAGTGTTTTGCCACATTGTTACAATCTTTATCCTTTTTAGTAGCTGTGTTGATGGAATTGAACTGATGTAATTTACATAATGACTTCTCTATTGCTGGATGTATGGGTTGCTTGTAATTTAGGATGATTATAAATTATGCTGAGATGCGTATCTTCATGCATATAGCGTCTCTCATATTAGCAGAGATTCTTACTAGGGAGCATCAAGGATAGAAAAGATTTTATGGTTTTGATAGATTTTCTCCAACGACTTTCCTGAAAGGCACTTCTAACACACAGGGGGCTCAGGGGCTCTACGGCCAATGTTGTGCAGAGATTATTTCAAGAAAAAGTCTGCCTCCCAAGACATGGCAAGAGGAGGGCACTCCGAGACACAGGAGGCTCATCCCTCACTGTGAAACCTGACTGTATCAACACACCACTGCCGTTCCACTTCTCAGGGATGTACTCACTCGAACAGGCTCATGATGTTCACTACCGACATGACTCGCCGGTTTGTTCCCGTGTAATGAGAAATACAGAGCGCACCGTGTTCTCATTTCCTGGGGTAATCACATCCTCACACCACACAGAACCCATTCTAGCCAAGGATGCAGTTCATTAATTTACTAGAAATAGAATGCTGACGGCATGGGGCCTTCAGATCCTCAGGATAACACATTCTCTCCCGTCAGGCAGGACATGCAGGAAGCTGGATTATAACTAGAAGATTAATGGTGAGCACGGAGGCAGAAGAATAGCTGTCAATTGCACTAGTCAAATATTTAATGGTGATAAGCAAGACCACTGACACTTTCACCTCTGTAACAGAGGTACACCTGCCCCCAAAACCTGACAAGGGTCAGGCAGCCTCACCCTGGCACTATTTGTGTGGAACGGCCAACGTTTCAAACGATGACGCTTATCATGCTGCCACTGGTGCACAGCCTAACACCGATCAGGCAGTTTCCATGCGACGAGTACTATTCTAAGCGTTTTAATGTATCTCCAGCCCAGACCCATACTGCGTCTCCTCTGAGCTTCGAATGCTTATTTCAAATTATTTGCTCATTTCAATCCAACTCACTTAGGTTGATTCCATGGCCACAAATTTTGATTTGTAACTGGGCCTCCCAAGTACTTTTGCAGCAGAAACGGAGTGTCCTTAATGCGGTATTTCAGTCTATACTTCAGCAGTAAATTTGCATCTGACGTATGCATCAGTCTACTGAGAGCAGGGTTACCACGAGTCACTTCCCAAGAAAATGTTCAACTCTGGATGTACTGACCAATCAGATACATTCTGGAGCTGTGAAGCTGTCCATCAGATCAACACAGTGGAGGCCCCAGCAGGTACTGCAATTCTGCTTGATCCTCCCTAGAGAGCCAACCAACGGCCCTCTTTCAGAGGGTCTGTCCTTCAACAACTATTCATGTGTCAGGCACTGAGAAAACGGCAGCGAATAAAGCTTCAAGAAGCCTCCATTCTAAAGGAAGGAGACAGACTAAAACAAAGAGTAAATACATAACATGTCCCGTGGTAGTTAAGTTCTATGGAGAAAAGTAAAGCAAGAAAAGAAGATAAAGGAGAGAAAGAGGAGGGTGCTGCTGTTTTAGGCAAGTTTGTTCCCTCTGACAAGGGGATGTTTGAGGTGGGCACGTTTGGTGTCCGAAGAACAGCAAGGAGACTAGGGTGAGGTGCGCGGAAAGAGGATGGAGGGAGCAGGGGCAGCTCAGATAGAACCTCACACACCCAGACTCGGAATGTTTTTAGGGAAGAGGGAGAATTAGTGGAGAGCTGTGAGCATAAAAAACCTGGCCCGGCTGTCATTTGAAAGGAGCACTCTGGCTGCTGTGTGAACTGGTTAGAGGTGGACAGGTAGACAGAGACCAGGAAACCAATTAGGCTGTCCCTCTCGTGCAGGAGACGGTGGTGCTGGGGACCTGGTGGTGGCAGTGGAGGTGGTGAAAGGGGCCCGGATCCTGGAAGGAGGGCTGAAGGGACTGGCGGATAAGTTGGATGTGGCGTGTGAGAGGAAAGGAAGACTCAAGGAGGTCTCCAAGGTTCCTGACCTGAGCAAATGGAAGAATGGAGGTGCCTTTTGCTGAGATGTGGACTCTAGGAGAAGGCCATCTTTAGGGGGAAAAATCAAGTGTTGATTTTATAATCAACTTAGTAAGCTACAGAAAATCTCATTATTTCCTCATTATATGCATCTGGTTTTGTGTTAGCAACTGCCCAGGGCACATTTCTAGTTTTTCCCTTCTCCATAGACACACTTAAACTACTTAGTTTATTTCTTACAATGTAATTTACTTTGAAAAATTAAGGCTCACTCCATGTTTATGGATAGCCACAAATTTATTTTGTATACAGAGTAACTATTATTACTGAATACATTACTTTGGGCTTTGCACTTTACATACTCATTTTATGTTCAAGCCCTCTGAGATAGATTTATTATCCTTTGGCTGTGAGCTTCTGGAGGGCAGAGCCCCTCCATGTCTTTTTCATTCAATGTCTACCTAGTGTCTAGTACAGCCCCTGGCACATAGTAGCTGCTCAATAAATGAATGAATGGATCCTAATTTTATAGGTAAAGAAACTGCAGCTCAGGGAGATAAAACAACTCACCCAAGGTCACGCAGGTCTTCTGACTCAGGTTTTGAGGGCAATTGCTTTTTTACTACCCTACTCCCTCTCCTACACTGGGATCCAGCACTAGAATTGGCTTAGACAATTATAGTACCTCCACTTGATACAAAACTGTAACCATTAAAAAAAGAGTAGTTATGGAGGAGTTGTATTTATAAAAATTTTATGATATGCTAACTGAAAAAAGCAAGATAATTCAATCTTCATAAGTCCTGCCATTATATAAAAACACTTATGCATACAAGTGGGAAAGAAGATGTCTTAAGTGGAAATGTGGTAGGAAATATTGGAAACTGCTTGAGTGGTTAATTTTCTCATTCAAAGCTTCAAATGTTGTGATGTTTTTAGAATAAGAACAAAATGCTAACTGTAGAATGCCATTTTCAAACACTGTGAACTTACCTTGGAGGGTGTGGAATAGGAATTCAAAAGGGTCTCCTCTTCCTCCTCCACTTCAATCCTGGAAACACTGCTTAAGAAAAACAATAGACTTCTACCCAAAACCTAAGGCAGGGGTTGATTAAATAAGAAATCTGAGGGGCGGCCCATTAGCTCAGGTGGTTAGAGCGCAGTGCTCACAACACCAAGGTTGCCGGTTTGATCCCTGTATGGGCCACTGAGCTGCGCCCTCCACAACTAGATTGAAGACAACTACTTGACTTGGAGTTGATGGGTCCTGGAAAAACACATGGTTCCCCAGTTTAAAAAATAAATCTGAAAATCAGGTACTTTGTCTGATTTGTTTTAAAATCGCACATGCAACTTTAGACAAATTATAAAATAGAGGATGTTGCTTGGGGCAAAGACCTTCCGCAGAAAAGGATACAGCTCTTGTATGGAAACAATGTCTCTAGCTCCCGCGTGCCTACTGTTCTTGGAGGCTTGATGACGGGCTCTGGAAAATCTTTTGCTCAGAAACTGAGGAATAAAAGATAATGATTATTCCAGTCAAGTATTAGAGATGTTTTCCACAGCGTGAGGTAATAATGGGCATTTTAAATATAATCAAAGATACAAAATTCCTCAAAATAAGAATTAAGTTAAAAAGATATACATGGGCCGGCTGAGTGGCACAGTTGGTTAAGAGTTGGCTTAAGAGCGCGAGCTCTGATCAACAGGGCCGCCGGTTTGATTTCCACATGGGCCAGTGACGCTGCGTCCAAACTGAGCTGTCGCTGAGCTGCCAACAGGTGCCAGGATGGCTCAGCTGGTGTAACAAGATAGCCTGTTCGATGGTGGGCTACGTGCACCAGCAACTAAGACTGAACTTGGCACCTTGAGCTGAGCTGCCGCCCAGATGGCTCAGTGGATAGGGTGTGTGCTCTTAGTAACAAGGCTGCTGGTTCGACTCCCACGTGGAATAGTGGCTATGCCCACCCACAACTAAGATTGAACATAGCACCTTGGGCTTAGAGGCCACGAGTTGCCGACGGGAAGCCAGATCGCGACTGGTGCTCTCCATAATGAAGATTGAAGAACAACAACTTGGCTGGTCTCCTTCCCCAATTCCCCAACACTGTTCCCCTCCCCTAATTCACCAATCAAATCTTAAAAAAAAGGAAATACATGATAGACTAAAAATAAAGTCTTATTCTGTGAAACAACAACAAAAAAAGACTTATTCTGTGACTATTTCTCTACAATGCATAACCATTCTCATAATAACACTAATTATCTGTTGCTGACCTACCACCTGCTGGGCAGTCTTAGGTGATTTACATTTATTTTCATTTAATTCTTACAATAACCCTAAAAAAATATGGATTATTAGAACCACTGACAGAAGAGGAAACGGAGGCTTAGAGACATTATTAAGTAGTTTGCCCAAGCTCACATTGGGACTGGACTAGTTCTGATTCCAAAGCCCACACTCTTCTCAATATATCATACCTCCTTTCCTTTACTGCACAGAGCAGCAATGGAGAATTACACGATGAGTTTCCTTATACTGTGTTCTCACCTCATGCTCAAAAGAGTTCAAGGTCTCTGCCGTGACACAATCTTTCTGTGTGCTGGTGCAAAAGGCAACGAGCTCGTCCACCATCCCTTCCTTGTTCTGTCCATACAGAACGCACAGCTCTGCCACTGTGGAAGGAAAATTGGACAAGTAAGAATTTCATTTATTTCTTGTAGCTTTCACCTTGAAAAGAGAAACTAATCCTCTTTAGTCAATCCATATTTATTCAGCACCTACTAGTGCCAGTGTTCTAGGCATGAGAATACAGCAGCGTGAGCAAAACAGAGAAACAATCCTTGTCTCCATGAAGCTTACTATTGGGGGGAAACAGAAAATAAGCAAGCTATGTAGTGAGGTATTATAGATGATTAAATGTGTTGTGTAGAAAAAGAAAGCCAGGAGAGGGATCAGGGAGTTGGGGGAGGGGTTGGCAACTTAAAATACAACAATTAGGGAAGGCCTCGCTGAGAAGACATTTAAGTAAAGACTTGAAGGAAGTGAAGGAGACTGGCAGTGTTTAGGGGAAGAGCTTTCAGGCAAAAATCCTGAAATCTGCACAAGATCGGCGAGGCCACTGTGGCTGGAATACAGTGAGGGAGGGGGATGCAGACGAAGGGGTGCAAATTGTTGGCATTTTAACTACCCTAGGTAGTACTCTGAGCAAGCTGGGAAATCGCTAGAGGGTTTGAACAGAACCGAACATGATCTGACTTCCATTGACTGGAGGGGGCAAAGGCAGAACCAGGGGGACCAATGAAGAGACGCATGGTAAAATCCGGGTGAGAGATGATGGTAGTTTGGCTTAAGGTGGTGGCAGTGGAGGGGACGAGAAGTGGTCAGAAGTACTTGTCTGAAGAAAGAGATGATGCTGTGTTTTTAGCCTGAGCACGTGGAAGAGTGGAGTCACTCTATAAGCTGAGGTGGGGAAGACAGCAGGAGGAACCACTCTGAGGAGAGGGAGGAGATGCCAGGAGCTTGGTTCTACATGTGTAGAGTTCGAGGTGCCCACTGGACATCCAACTGGAGACGTCCCTTAGGCAGCTGGCCAGGTCAGCCTGCAGTCCAGACAAGGGGTCTGGGCTGAGCTATAAATTTGGGATTCATCAACAATACAGGGATGTCAAGCCAGGAGACCAGTAGAGATCACCAAGGAAGTGAGAGTATTTTTTTTTTTAATTAGAGGAGATAAACCAGTTTTATTGTCTATCATGTTATATAAAAATCTAAAAATAATAAATTTGTAGAGAAGAAAATGAATAGTAAATAAGAGGGCAACAGAAATAATTTAAATTTGAATTATTTTCCATGATATTAGGATGAAAACCATTTCAAAGCACATGTCTAGTTTCAGAAGTTTTGTTCACTGGCCAAAGCAAGGTGTTCAGTGTCTTATCTGCTCTACTGGCTCCTGATGAAACTTTGAGATCTTCAAGAAAAGTAATGTACTCCCGGGGCTCCAAGGCTATGCTGAGCTCCACCAGCTCATCCGCAAAAGTACTGTCAACTTCTCGGTCTACAAGGAAATCCACTAGGTGGTCCTATAAGGCGCAGTCCAGGGAATCTGTGTTGAATGTGTAACTGGTGTCCTTCCATTCAGACTGGCTGGTGGACTGAAAGCTCACTTCCCTGATGGAGCAAATGTCACTCTCGTCCTCCTCTTCTTATCCAGCTTCATCTTCTGGATAGTGCCAGCCCAGCACAAGGGCCTTCTTGCCTCCATTCTTTATAACTTCAAGAAATTGGAAGGGGATGTCGATTCAGGATCCTGTCCATCATCATGCTGACCTTGGGGGGGCTCCTCCTCCCCATCAAGTGTTGGTGGGATGCTATCGTTCATGTTGAAAGTGACATTGATCTTTTCTCCAGCAACTTTCAGCACTAATCTGGCTTCTGTCCCATTCACATTCAGCTTCCAACCTCCAGGCAGCTTATGCTTCTATATCTTCTTTTCCCTCTTAATTTCATCACTCAGGAATTCCACAAAAGCTTTGTCCCCATCGGTGTGCAGCACAGATCCTGCGCACACACACACACCGTGGAGCACAGCACGGGATGCAACAGCGACCACAGAGCGTAAGGTGGGGCTAGGCAGCACAGTGGAAGTGAGACTATCTTGAGGCTCAAGACAGGAGGGGGATGAATCTGCAAAGCCCAGGAAGTGGTGATAAGCAAGGTTGGTGAACAACTAGTAGTGTCTGAGAAGCTAAGAGAAAAACGTGTTTTAAAGAAGACATGATGAAGTGTCAAATGCTGCTGATAATTCAAGATGAGGACTGCAAATTCGCCACTGACTTTGGCCAGGTGAAGGTCATTGATGACCTTGAGCGAAGCAGCTTCAGTGAAATGGTGGAGATGAAAAAGCTGATGGACATGGATTTAAGGAGGAAAAAAACTGAAGACAACAAGTATAGACAACGCTTTTGAGATCTGTTGTAATCCGGAATGAGAGAACTGGGGTGGGAAGTGGCGTCAACAGGATATTTTAAAGGCAGGAGTAAGAACCACATTTCTATGCTATTAGGGAAAAAAAATCTTAGAGAGAAAAATACAAACTATGTAAGAGGGAGAATTACTGGAGTGATGTCCTTAAGAAGGTGAGAAGGAATGGGATTTAGGACTCAAGAGGAGGGTGAGGCTTTGGCAGGGAACATAGAGAATTTATTCATTGTAATAGGGAGGCAGGCAAGGTCTTGAGCAGACACAGGCAGGCAGGAAGAAGTAATGGTGATAGCTTACAGAAGTTTTCTAATTGCTTTTATTTTTTTCAGTGAAACAGGAAGTTAAGTTCATCAGCTGAGAGTGGGACAGAAAGATGTTAAAGGAGGAAAAGGTGGAAGGAAAAGTCTGTTAGAAGACTCAGAGTGAACACACGAGGGAAATAGGTTATGACCGTCAGGAAATATTAAAGTCCCATTCAGGTTAGTGATTATGAATTCAAAGACTAGAATTCCAAGGTCACTGCCAATGTAGTCCTAGGTGAGAGATGGCAGCAACTGGCGGCTGAAGCCTTTACAAATTTGGTTCACACAACTAATTTCTCTTGTTTTGACTTCAAGGTCACCAAATACATTCCTGACTACAACTGGGTTTCTCAGTCTCCTTTTAGGAAGAGAATGCACTGGGCATAAGAACTTGGGAGTATTCTGGTCTCTCATGAGACATTAACATGCTAATCAACATGGAATTAACATGTTAATATTTAAAAGGTTCAAAGTGTTGATGTATGATTAAGGGGGGTGCACATTCAATCCATTTCTAAAACTGAGAACAGAACGCTACATCTCCCCAGATTTTGCTTCAGACAGGTCCTGTCACTGCCCCAGAGCCTGACCAATACAATGGACCAATATGCTAGAGCTCTGGACTTAGGGAAAGGAGACCTGGGTTCACAGGCCAGTCAGGCTATTAACTCTCGTTTGTTTTGTTTCTCCATCTGTTAACAGCTGACAAGCTCCCACAAGGGCCTTCCAAAGCCACAATTCAATTTTAGGAACCCACCTCATGGGACTCATGCGCACGGACTACCAACCACTTTGATGAGAAGTGATGGCGCAGCAGAAGTTTAAGGTGTGGGCTAGAAAGGGAGCAGCCAGGAATAAAAAGCTACACTTCCAAACCCCCACACCTCTTGCTTTGTTATAGAGGCTTAAACAACTTCCAAACTCGGAGATGCCACCAGGGCCTTAGTGGGAACCTAGCACTTCCCAATTCCACCTTTCTGAAACCGTGTTGATTTAAATTCATGCTTCAATATTTTCTTTTTTTTTTTTTGAGTTGGGGTCCAAGCAGTACTCTGAGCATTTCAAAGTCCCCACATCCCAAACCTCAAAACTCAGTCTGCTTCTTCATCTCACACCCACTGAGAAGACTGATTTAGGGTAGGTGAAACCTGGAAGCGCTCCCCTTTGCGTTCTAAGCGACTGGGAACACCCAGCCCAGCGCAGAGCTCGGCCGGGGTCCGGGAAGGGGGCGAGGGACTCACATTTCTCAGTCTGAGCCTCCTCACACTCAAGGCCGAAGATCTGCAACTCCTCCACCAGCTGCTGTGTGGTCACGGACATGGTGGCTCAGGGGAGTGGGGAGGGTCGACCCAGCTCCGACCTTGGTCCAAGGAACCCACGGGCGTGGGGATCGACGAGCAGGAAGAGGTCCCTGTGATCCTTTCGCTCTGTGGGGGACCAAGACGGAAGGTGACCAAATAGCCCAAGACCTCAGGAAGTCAGAAGGCCCCAGCCGTCAGTCACGAAAACGCTTTTTAAAAAAAATGTGGGGGAAGCCCCCAAACGCCCGATGGAAGGGAACAGACGTCTCGAGAAGTCGCTCTCTTGGGGAGAGCGTCCTACTTCCTATAACCCTAAAAGCTACCGCTGAGCAGCTTAAAAGCCGAAACAGAACACAGCAGCCCGCAAAAACCCGCCAAATGGTTTGTGCAGCGCGCGCAAGCGCGAAACCAGGGTTCAACCCCACCCCTTTTCCCTCTGCTTCCTTCTCCAGGTTCGCGGACTCCGCGCGCACACGCGCGTTCGAGGGCGCGTGCGCAAAACTACAACGCGCCCGCTCGCGCGCCCGCACCTGGCGGGCGCTGTGCCCTACTGCGGCTGCGCAGTTGTCTCTCGCAGGCAGCGAAAGCGGGGCGTGGTACCTGACGTACCCGGCTCTTGGGCACTGAAACGCGTCACCATACCAGCCTCGGATGCCTGTTTTCCGGACACCGCCTGCTTGGCAGAGGTCCATGACGCACGTGCGTCACCCTTTTGTCCTGTGCCTTGGTGCGCAGGCGCTGTCGTATACAAGCCCTCAAATGTCCCAAACTTTCTGTGCCCTACCCTGGAAAGGAAGGTGTGTCTTCCCTTTGATGCCCTCATCATCTCTGCACTCGATGTGCCCTCGTTCATCTTAAAAGGGTGGCTCCGTTAGGGAATCTGGTTGCCATGGTTATCATCATAGTTATCACCTTGGTCCCAGCCACAGTGATAGGTCTGTTTTTCTGGATCAGGAGCATTTTGGTGGAAAAGGAGTGGAAAGGGAACACATGACTTAGTTTTGGACCTTGGGTTTGGATGCCTTTGGGAATTCCAGGTAGAGGTTTCCAGTGGGCGATTGGAAATTTGGGAGTGAAGATAAGTCACTATGGGGGAAAAGAGCTTAGAGGTAAAATGAGAAGAGGCCTTCCCTCAGGAATATCTCCTAATTCTTTGAATCAAAATCTCTATTGGCTCAGCTTAAATCAAATGACCTTAGGCATCACACTCCGCTAATGGTATGGTAGACTGATAGACTGCCTAGAAAAGTTCGGCAACAAATGTCAGGAGCCTTAAAAAATCTTCATTCCTCCTTAACTTAGCATTTCTTATCCTAAGTAAAGCAGCCAAAATCCAGACACAGGGTTATGTACAAAGATGTTTGTCATGGCCTTGTTTATAATAATAATAATAATAATAATAATAATAATAATAATAATAATGGAAACTGTGAACATCCAAAAGTAGGGGCTGATTAAAGAAAGTAACAGGGGGCCGGCCGAGGGGCGCAATGGTTAAGAACTGGCTTGGGACGCCAGAGGGCCCCGGTTCGGATCCCACATATGAGGGCGAGTGATGCTGCCCTCTACAGCTAAGATGCTGAACAACAGCTCAACCTGGAGCTGGGCTGCCATGAGTCGCCGGCGACGGCATAGGCTGCAGCCCCTGTGGCAGTGGGTTGCCATGGGCTACCGTGTGTAGTTAGCAG